ACTAAGGATGTGTTTCCAAAAAATCAGAACTTCATCATATTAACTTAAATCTTTCACACAGCATACATTATTATATGTATACATTATTAGTCTATACATTATTACAGACTGTGAAAGCGGAGCCTCACGATCCTTCTGACTTTTTGGGTTCATTATTAGTCTCCAAAACTAGACTATTTAAAAGCCTGCCTTTCCCAAAGAATTCCCAAAGAAATCCCAAATTCAAAAATAGAAGAGTTTTCAAAAGAGCATATGACATTATTTTCTATTGACCATTTAAACTAATCGCTCCTTACTCTTTGCAGTGAAAAATGCATCCTTGGTAAATATATACAAGCATGAATTATAAGAAAAATCTGAAGACATAAAGTGACCCTTTTCTGCAACACAGTGAGAGAGTCATCTTCTGCTCCATTCATCTGCCTATAGAGATCTCTTGCTTTGACTGCAATGGATGTACACATGCCTACCAATAAAAAGCTCAGTACATTTTAAGAGTTATGCTTTTGAGCAAACTATCACAAAACTGGTATGACCACAATTGTCACAAGCAGTTGTTTCTTCAGATTCTGTTCCCTTTGGATTTTTTCTAGCAGCAGCAGAGACTCTTGTGTCAAGGACTTTCTTGTGTCCTGACTCTTGTGTCAAGGACTCTCACAGCAGAGTCGTGATAAATAAACCAGAGCTCTTGTTCCTGTGACAGCGTGGCAGCATTGCTTACTTCCTAATAAAGTTCTGTTGCAGAACCAGAGAAGTTAAAAGATGAAAATAATAGCTTTATATAGGTACATTTCTTATTTAGTAACTTCAAAGTACCAGAGCAAATACTAATTTACAGTTAATTTAATAAAGCTAACAATACTGTACTATGTACTCTAGTGTCTTAATGTGACTTTTTTGCTAAAAATTTCATTTAGTTTAAAATAATGCACAGTATACTGAAGATTGACGTTGCTTTTGTTTTTGGTGATGTTATGGGGTTCTAAGAGTGTAAATGTAATGATTTAGAAAATTCAAATTGACTGATTAATTTACAAAAGCAGCAAAGTGTTTAACTAATTGCTGCACAGTTGTGTAATAGTCACTTTCTGAGGCATCCTTCCAGTCCATGTAATAAGGAAAAGGGTTTGATTTATGCAACATGCAAATAACAAAGGTTTCAAGGAGATTAGCATCACTTGAACATATAGGTAGATCTGCTGGAATTCTCAAGAGGAAACAGGTTGTTAGCAGTTATCTTTTTCTCTCCAAAGCAGGAGCCAAAGAAAATGTTAATGCATCAGTGCACTCAAAGCCCTTAATATGCTGATATCCACTGTAAGTATCAAATAGAGTTTGATAGAACTAAGTAGGGCATGCAGTATGACCTTTGAGAACATGCTCTGAGTTTTATTGACCAGGAGCCACAGTAAAAAGCAGACAAACAGACAAACATGCAATAACCTATTCCTTTACATGTTTGCAAATAATCAAAACCACAATGCATTACATACTTAATGCAAGCAATCATTTTACTCTACATATTTTTAAATATAGTGACATTCAACATTGCTATTAAATGCATGCATGCAATATGAACACCGAATGCTTCAGATTTACTAAAATAAAAAATAGGAAATTTACAACGAAATCAGATCAAGTCTTAAACAGATCAAATGATGCTCCAACTTTTCTGTTATCTACTTACGAGTTTAGCTTTGTATCTTGTTTGAGTGGTAACGAGCAGCTGACATTAAAAACACTGGGGATCTTTGAAACATTTGAATTCCTACTTCACCTCGGATCAAGCCCAAGCAGAGCTGCACTGCGTTCTACAGATAGGCAGACTCTATTCTACATGAACTCTTTACTTTGCTGTACTACTCACTTTTACTTGCTGAGAATTCCACTATCTAATCCTCTGAGGAGCAAAGCATACAAGTGTTATCAATCTGTACAACTAATTTTGTGCTACTTGCTGTTCCAAGAATAATTTCTTGGAACACAAGAAATTCAGACAATCAATAAGCCATACTTGATATTAGTAAGTAACTGTCACTGGCTACAATCTTACATATCACCAGATCATCTGGGGAGGAGGCTACAGTGATGAGAAACCACAGGCAAATTGATTCGGGACATGTAAATTCCATGCCTATGTGCTTTCTTGATTTGAGGCTGGTGATAGCACACAAAAACCTCTGTTTTAGGACACGATACACAGAAGCAGAAATTTTGAGACATGGTGATGACAATGAAAACTCTTACAGTAGCAGCAAAAACTGATTTTATGGGTTTGGAAGGTACTATTACTAAATTATAAAACTAATACACGTCTTGTTGATAACCACAAACCTTGACAAGATAATTATTTTGACCAAAAAAACTAGGAATTTTTTCCTATCTTTTCCTAGAGAAGATATAATGCCACATTCATCTTTATATTTTGAGGATAAAAAGGCTCAATTTTAAAATAAAATCTACAAATCCACACTGTGAATTAAAATAAGAAAGTACCACAAACACAACTAGAAGTGCCTTCAACATAGTTCCTACATATATAATGATATATAAAAAAAACATTGTGCTTTAGAGATTGGATTTCACAATCCACCTGACAATGAGTTGTCCAATCTCTTATCAGAGAGTATCCAGTAACAAAGCTTTAGAAAAGCTTTTCCACATTGTCTATTGGAGTGTTTTATTATACTTGCTTTCAAAAAGATTTTTTCCTAGTGTTGTGAATTGTTCTAACATTTCCTAGTGTTGTGAACTGGTAAGCTACCATATTGTAATTTTAGTGCCTTACTCTTGTCACGCTCAGCACAGACAAAAATGCTTTCTATGTTTCTTGAACTTCATTATTTGTTCTTCAAACTAAGTACTCTCCTATCATTACATGCAACTGATGAGTAACCTCATGCTAAAGTGAAAGTGGATATGTTCAACAGTGGAGTATGAAATTTCCTAAATCAGTTCACCTCAAAACTGTAAGACTAAATTGGTGATATTTTTAGATACTACATACAGCAAGTTCCTGCAAAAATTGGGCTGCATTAGGAAAAAATAAGTATATCTATATCTAAATAAAAAAAGAATTCCTGAGGACAGTACTCTGACAAAGCCACATACCTTATTATTTGCAACAAAACCACCATGGAAATATTCAATTTGATTGTCATTAAAAAAAAAAAAAGAGCTTATCTACACCCCCATAAAGGATGCCATGTCAAAAGCAAATTTTTAGTCAGCCTCAGGATTTATAAAGCAAAGACATAAAATTCTTGACAGTTTTTTTTGGATCTGGACCAGAGGCAAACTGGCAAAGATTATTGGCAGTAGAGGCCATGACAAGAAATTAGACACCTCTGTTTATGAGCAGCACAGGTTAAAAGCTGCAGATTCTATTCATTGTCTTGTGGAGAGATGTTGCTGGAGATGAATCTAAAGACACAAGAGACTTAATTAATGTCAGTAACAGATACCATTTTGAGGACAGTATTTTAGCCAGATATTTTTCCATTGCCAGCTACTGTTCATTAAAAATTCCAGCTTGATGGCTGGCATCCTGAAATAAAACTACTAATATGTACACTACTTATATCCATACATTATTGCAATAAATAGCCACTTACACATGAGTAAAGCTGTATGTAGCTACACACATAGTAATATGATGCTACAATACTTTTTCTAAAATGTCTAGAATGGTATCCTGTGTTTTGGTGAGAGTGGCCTTATTTCTTTATTTTTAATTTTATTTTTTTGATGACTAGGTATACATTGTTATGCTATTTAGTGCTTTATCTTAAAAAAAGAGTGAACTAATGTAGATCTACTTGAAATATTCCAGTAAGGCATGAGTCAGTTCTGTGCAACTAGAGCACAGCTTGTAAACAGTAAAGTTGCCATAAAAGAGCAGTAGGAGGCTGGGGAGGAGGGAAAGGAAAATTCCCCCCATGCATGAAAAAACAAGAGACACCTTTTCTCAAAGAAAAACATCAAGTTCTTACTGCCTTTCTTCACAGTTACTCTCCCAAAATAATACATTGATACAACAGTTTTCCTAATTATATTGTAAATTCACTGAGAAAGCAGCTTGATATTAACTGCCAAATTAGTTTGCACTGAACTGATGTAATTATGTCGCATAGATGGGAGTTTACTACAGCCATAAGTGAAGCTAAAGCCTCACTCTAAAATGGTATAAATATCAACCAAAACCAGAAGGTACTCAAAAATTCCTTTGTGGAATAATCTCATCTGTCAAACACATCAATTATATTTAGTTCATCTAGGATTTTGAACCAAGATATTCAACTATTAAAGGTTCAGAAAACATCCAAAAAATACCTACACAGTGTAAGTGACAAAAAAGTCTTTCATGTAAATTGCAAACTTGACTTCCTAAGTCTTAAGTGAGCTTTAATATTATCATCACAGAGCAAAAAAAAACAAAACAACAACAACAAAAAAAAACCACCAAAAACTTACTGCAGTGACTTGCCTTGTAATTGCAAAAGCAGATGCAACAGATCGGATTAAAGAAGCAATGAGGTTTGGCTGGGTGTCCTATAGAAAATATGTGGCTTCAAAAACTACAGTTCTGGATTAAAATGTGAGAGTTTTGTTGTATAATTTATAAATTATGTCACTGTCTCATTAGCGGTCCACAAAGCAGGCAAGAAATAAACGTAATACTTTTTAGCAAATGATGATGAAGATTAACAATCAAGTGATACTTGTCAAAATGCTCAACACTGTAATGCTTTTATCAGCATACTGAGGACTTTTGCAAACAATGACATCAGCTTGAACTGAAACAAGGAAAGAAGCCAGAAGCAGTTATAAACTCCAAGACACAATTTACATGACATACATGAATATAGGAGCAAAAATGTCTACAAATATCAAAACAGACATGAATGTACAGGAATGTAGAGTACTCATATAAAGAAAAACAAAACGTAGAAAGACCACCAGCACAGATGACAAGAAATTTATAAGTTTTTATTTTATACCTTTCTCGTTCTGGTGAATGCAAACTAGTATCTGGTCTCAAGCAGTTGGTACTAGCACTCCTAGCCCTGTCAAGGGAGGGCTGTAGTTCACTAGTGCCAGTGCATTGCATCCAATGGTAGAAGAGAAAGAAAAAGAAAACAAAGAAAGGAATACAATGTTAGATATTAACTCATAAAATAATGCTCTCTTTACAGAAAATGTAAAATCACAATGATTTAATTAAGGAAAACATAAAAGAGCTGGCTGGATGACAGAGCCCAGTTTTGTTTAGAAAATAAAATCAAATAAAAGACTGCTAAAATATTCTTGCTAAGAAGTGTTTAAAACTGAGGGAGACAGAATATCCACTGGCATAAGAGTGGAATGAGAAATATCAAACAATAATTCTAAATCCTTATTAATAGCAGTAAGTCTTAAGCCAACATAAAAGGATGTGATACACTATATATGACGTGAAATTACTTTACAATAAAGCTCATTAATTCTGTAAATCCATTTGGGATACAAACAGGAGAGGGTATTAATCCTTAGTGTCTTACCTAACCAGTAGATCATCTCCAAATTTCGGAATTCGTGAATTAAGGCAATCACGAAGGAGAGAAATATCCTGTCTAACCACTGATTTGGTCTTAGCACATGCAGGAAGAGTTGAGCTTTGTAAATTAAAATTATTTAAGCAAAATAAAAATAAATTTGACATGTAAGCAAAATCACACACAAACAAAAGAACGCAACAAAGACAAAGCGTGCAACATACAATGTTAACCATGAAGAAAATTGTGCATAATATAAAGTGCTTGTCTTTTTTAGGTAGGGATAATTTAGAGTATATGAAGTTATTTTAGGAAGAAGTCCCTTCACTCATGTTTATCAAAAGCATATGAAACGCTTTGTTCTTTTTTTTTTTAATAAATAAATATATGTATATATATATATACACACACACATATACATATGGGACTAATTCAACTCGAAGAAGTCATTAACTACTTAAAGGGGACTCTGAATACTTCTTACCTGTATAGGTTCCAATGAACACCGTTTTCTAGTAAAGGCATCTTGGGTGGTAGTGTTTTATAGTGCCTAACAGAACTTCTTGAAAGTGAAAAAAGAAAAGAGGACAACACAAAAACATGCCAGAAACAAAAAAAAATCCAAACAGATAAAAATAAAGCAAGATTGACCAGAACTTAAAATAAACACATAATATTCTACTATATGTAATATCTGCATGAGGAGATTTCTTAATGTATGTTCTTCTCAATTCACCTGCTGTGATAGCTACCGGGGGGCAATTTTTTTTAATTTACTCTCTTGTTAGTACAGCCCATGAATTCATGACAATACTAACATAGTTCAGACACTGTTCTTGTAAGGAAAGTAATCTAAATTCCTACTACTGAGATTTTTAATTAAAATATACGAGCTCTTGTAAAGGATTAGGTTGCTATTTATTTGTCTTAGTAATGCTTTATTTAGACCTACAGAGATTTTAACTGAGACATGCTTCCAAAGCTAAGCATGAAAAGCTTGCTAAAGATATGTAGCACCACAAAGACAGCTATACATGTACTTGCACCTGGCATCTTTGAATGTTGAAGTTTTTTGGAAGTGGTATATCAGCTTCAAAACCTAATTAAATATTCTTAATAATCATACCCTGATTAAGGGACGTTTAGACATTGTGTTGAGGGAGATGGTTTAGCCAGAACTATGGCCTGATAGGCAGATGGCTGGACTGGATGATCTTGTAGGTCTTTGCCAACCTTGGTGATTCTATGATTCTACAACAAACCTTGACTCTTTAGTTTGGACCATCTCATAATAATATTTCTTTCATCTAACACACTATCTTCTATCTCGACTTAAGCTGAAGCTATTTCAACAATTAAATCATTATTGAGCAAGCTGCCTAGAAAACAGGACTAATCCCCTATAATGTTGTTTTTAACATGAACAAATGTCAGTTCACTATGAATGAGAAAGGAGGAAAGATGACAACCAGTTCGCAGATAATTTTTTTTTTCCTTGAAAGGATTTTTCACACTATATAGCCAAGAACAGTATAGGCCTCAGAGTTACATTTAAAGGTCAATCTATCTTGTCTCTATGCTCACATTCAATATATTAATAAAAATAATATTTTGTTTCATTGTACAACATCAGTGTAACTATTATTTTTGTTTGTTATTTTAATAGGTTGCTATTTAAATTCATTAGTTCAATAATTTGGGATAACTTATTCCTTTTTATTGATTACAAACGGGAGAGAGACCAACTTTTCATATGGTCTGATATGACAAGGAAAAAGGGCTTGAAACAAAAAAAGTGAAGACTGAGATTAGATATCAGGGGGATTTTTTTTTTTTTTTTACTTAGAGGGTGGTGAGGTGCTGCCACAGCCTGCCCAGAGAGCTGTGGGTGCCCCATCCCTGGAGGTGTTCAAGGCCAAGCTGGATGGGATCTTGGGCAGGCTGATCTGGTAGGTGGCAGCCCTGCTCATAGCAGGATGTTGGAACTGGTGAGCTTTAAATGTCCATTCCAACCCAAGCCATTCTATTACTCTATAAGAAAATAAAAACAAAAATTGTAACAAGAAAAAACACAAGAAAGGGCTGCACTCTCTGAATTCAGTGTTCCTCTAATCTGTGTACATGCCCATGCACAGTTTTTAGCTGGTTAGCTACCAGTCTGCCTAGTGGATTTGTAACACAATTGAAAATCCACAGCTGCTGGGCAAAGAGCAACAAAAGCTTGTCATATAATATTTACTCTGTGCATTGAGAATTTAAGTTCTGTCACTGCAAAATTATAATGAAAATTATAATCTTTAATTATTTAAAAAAAAAAAAAAAAGCACAGAGCTGCGGACATGTAAGGGGTAAAGTTATGGAGAATAAAATAGAAAGAAAAATGCCATAGGAAAGAGGTAGTGAAATCTAGATATTGCATGACAGTAAAATGATGCAAAATAACAGGGAGTTTACTAAGTGATTAAGCTAAAATCTAAAATGTTGAGTCAGAAGCTTTTTGCTAAAATATGACAATGAAATTATTTATTTATTTATTTGAAAGGTAGATTTACTTGATTAGGATATTAAGATAGTCATATTTAGTTCTGGGAACAGTTGAGAAAGAGAGGTTCAAGCCCTGGGATAATAAATTTTTTAAGATTGAAGATAAGCACAAACTGAAAAGTTTATGCCTGGATCAAATTATTAGCACAATTCAAAAGGAAAAATATAAGTACTACGAATTCCCTAAAATCTAGGGTTGTGAGGAGGATGCCTTTAAATCATGCTCTCCTTCATCCCTCTACTTTTCTCTTTAAATGTCCAAAGTCAGCATGAGATTAGGTGTCAGTCACAAGGAGTAAAGATTGTTGGCCAGTGCTTGGCTATAATACAGACATAGAAATGGAAATAAAGGAAAACAAACAACTCAAAAAAAATGTCTGAAACTGTAACAAAACTGCCATGCATTGGTGATCAGGACTACTGTGACTAGACAGATAATCTACCACAAAAAGAAACAAACAAACAAAAAAAACCTGCAAAATCAGGAATTCTTTAGCTGCTTTAACCCTTACTACTGATGTTCACAAACATATATACACATCTTGAGCTGATTTAAAACAAAAAAACAAAGAATAACTGACACCTGAATCACAATGTACTGGGAAGGTCTGTACTTACTGTATGTCGGGCACACACAGCACACACAGCTAACCAGAGGTGTACCAGATTCCTGTATTTACCTGATGGTATGTAGGCACTCTGCACTTCTTCCTCGTTTTGCTCTGGGCAGCATAAGAAGCTCACTGCACAGACAGGATGGGTGGTGAGTGAAACAGATATAATTATGAAGCATTAGATGACATGGGTTATGCCAATGAAACGCAAATGAAAACGTAAAAAAAACAACCAAGAAACTTCCACCAAAATACATAGACTGCTAATGTTCGAACCCAGACTGCACTTCTCAAAGTATGTGAGCCAAAAAAAAATGCCTGCAATAACTACATTTTCAACCAAATCCTTTCACCTATTTTCATGGGGTTTTTCCCGTTAAATTTCAGTTCTGATTCAGAGTTCCTCATGACAAAAGCTGTCTCCATAAATCATTTATATTTCTCTAACAACCTCCTTTCTTACACATCAAAGAACTGCAAAGAGATATTTTAGAAAAAAGAAAGGCAACTGTTTTTCTCTAAGCCACAAAGGAATACAAGAAAAAAGGAGAGAGAGTTTGTTATTTCACTGCAATCCAATTTATGGGAAGAGTAAACCCTTTTTGTCCTTCTGGGAAAAAGAAAAATATGCATTAACAGGAAATATGTTTGGACAAATAGAAGTTCTGACTGATAGCTCTTTTCAGTATTGTGCAATGTTAGCCTAACAAAACAAAAAAAAAATTGCTAATCAGTTATCAGATTTTTTGTTTCTTACTGTATCCAATTCAGAAAATCAGCCAACTAATCTATTACTCATTTGATGCAACTGAGCACATGCTAGCACCAAAAAGATGGTAAAATTAAGACATATTTATGCCTATGGTAAGTGTGATTATGATATGAAACAGCCCTTGACTTAATCTTGTAGTTTTATGCACTTCAATATGATCAAGAGGATGAAGTACCAACATCCCACAGACTATTGTAAATATGAAAGTAAAGCTAAACTTCATGGAAACATGCTATTTTAGAATAAGCAGGGAATAGTATGAAGTACTGTGGTGACAGAGAGAGAAAAGATTACAACATAAATGAAGTAGCAGTTGTTCAATGTATTTTGTGCTTCATACCACTATAAAATGATTAATTTAATTGATGCAGCATAGGTAACGTTTCTCTACTGTTCTGAAATCGGAAGACTAAAATAATGGCTTCTGAGTAACAAGTGAGAGTTAAGTTTGTATCTGGAATCACTAGCCTATATTAGATGCAACAAAAGGTATTAAAGGTGAACTGAAATGTTTTTTCTTTTAAAGAAAAAATTCCATTTCTAATCTTTATACGCAAATTTCCAAATTACATTTACATGTGTATTAGGAAAAGAATACCATTTTCTGCAGTTACTTAGGATATTTGAGATTTTCTTGCAAGAAATGAAGAAATTCGCATAAAAACACTATAATCATGAAATGTTATGCACTGCTTAATTTTCAGAGACAGGAATCCTTCTGAGAAACAGGATAAAATCTGAAAAAGAGTAGTTGTGAAAGGTAATTTGATAATATTTTTTCTACTTTTGCTAAGCCAAAGGATATCCACTGAAATGCTCCCATGGCAAACCGTAATATTTCATTGAGAAAAGGAGTATAAACAGCAAATCCACCATGAAAACCTCAAAGTAAAAAAAAAAAAACAAAAACAAAACCAAGGCAAAAATCCATAACAGTTGATTATTTACAATGTAAGGTGATACTGGAAGTTCTACACTAAACTAAAGCTGTTTTGGAGACATTTATATTAAAGTTTATTATTTTAAAATAAGAACTTCCTAATGGGAATATTTAAGAACCCAGATTAGCAGATATTGTTTAGGAATAAGACAAAAAGTGAAATGGGGTACTTGAGAGTCAGATGATGATCCTAATGAAAGTATATTCCTTTGCTAGATTTCCTAATATAAAATTTTCCTAAAGAGTTTATATACACACATACATATACACATATTTATACACACATGTACACATATGTGCGTGTGTACATATATATATATATACACATACATACATATATATACATACATATATATGTATATATATATGTATGTATATATATATATAAGAATACATTAAAAAAAGGTAAAGTGAACTGATCAGTTCTGCTGGGAGTGTATCATACCAGATGCTTTTCTAAGAGCCTATCATAGCTATGTCTACAAAAATATTCAATATTAACTTAGGATCACTAAGATCACTGAGAAAGTGAGAGAAAATGATCAAAAGTAATGAGCAACTGCAATTTCTGCTATGCAATTATCAGAAAAAATGCTCCTTTTCCAATCAAGTTTATTTTTGGTATCTACAAGAATACACTTAGATGATGGGTTCGATAAATGAAGAACATAATACTTGCACTAATGTTGATACTAAGACATTGTACTGGTACTAATACTGAATATTTACTTTTTTTTTTTTATCCTGAGATGTGAAAGATTCTATCAGCAATGAGACAGTTGGCAACAATATAAAAATCACAAATTGAGTCTGATCCACTCTGATTCTACTCTTATTCATGGGAAGACAGTGAAGTCTGCAACAGTTAAAAAGTTTCAACAACTGAAGGTATCTGGGGAAAAGCAAATGGAAAAAAAAAAAAAAGAGAGAGAGAAGCGCACAAGATGGTTCCTTGAGGAAAGTAAGTTCAGGGAACCTTTGATTAAATCCTATAAGTCAAGTACATCCTTCACGTCTGATCTTTTAAATTTCTGAAAAGCATCTTCTGAACTCTGCAAACTGAAGACTACTTCCTATTCATCTGAAAAAATTCAGCAGTGCTTTGCTGCTGTGCTCTTTCTGATGGCTCATCTTTGAAAAAGCACCTGTGCATCTCCAAGCATCCATTCTCTCCAAACATAATTCATGTATGTATTGTCATTTATTCTATGTTTTGAGGCAATAACATAAATCTGCATGAAGCCAACTCTATTTATTTCTTTCTAATGATTAGAGCTACTTTTAAATGTCTCTTCTAAGTCTGTTGAACAAGAAAGCTATCCAATAAATATTTTCAGGAATACTTTGAATATATTCCTATCTATAATAAATAACGTGAAACATTTGCAACAAGTGGAAATTTCATGAACTAGCTTAACTATAAATGCAATGTTGCTATAGTTAAAAACCATTTCAATTTGTCTCTAAAAGGAAATTTGATACAAAAATCCAACTTAGACAATTCTGTATATACTTCTTGCCTATGAAGTAGGACACTGAAATGTTAAGCAGTTTCAAGTAAATTATTAATTCTCATGCATAAGTCATGACAAAACAAAACAAAACAAAAAAAATAACAGGCAAGATCATTCCAATTTTCTTCCATTTTTTGAAGATTATTCCTAAATAACTGAAAACAATGCCTACTAGTAGAGAACATATTCTCTGGGCATCTTCATAAATTCCAGGGAGTGTCAAGTATCAATGATTGGAGATTTTTCTTAATTACAAGCACTGTAATTATCCTTCCTATGCTTATATACTGTACCAAGTTCACCAAAATGTGATAAAAAATTCTGTGAGACTGAAAAGGTAGATATCCAAGACATATTCACATAGGAAAACAAACTGTAGCATTCAACTCCCACGTGGTAGGAAGTCATCCTAGTATTTTTCTGACTACCAAAAGAAACAAATATGTTTCTCTGGTCTCTGTTACAAGACTCATTAGGAAATATATGTAGATTCATGGCTTTTAAGCAAATTCTCAGGGCACATGTGCATGAAACAAACAGCACAGTAGTCTAGGACAAACAACTAAGAACCATTAGTCCAAACATCTATCACTGTCAACCCAGTGCAGATTTTCACCAGAAAAGAGGCAAAGATAATTTAATTATGACTACTTTTTGCAACGAGGATGATTATCTGTCCCTTCCCCATTACTAACAGGCTGTGGTTTTCTGCTAAACATTTTAAAAGCAGGCAAACTGACAAAGACATTTCTAATGTTATTTCCAAGTTCAGACTGACAATATACCTTTCTTGATCAGACAAATACTGACTATCCATGTCTCTGGATCTGTAATCAGCTGGACTTCTGGAGGCCTCATGGTGTCTAGTTGGAGAACGTGATCTTCTCATTTGATGAATTTCATCTAAACTCCTGAAAGGCACATATATGTATGATATTCTTGTTTTTCTCACAAATGATATAGTTTAGTGGACAATTAAAAACTCCTGAAAGGCAGACATATGTATGATAACCTTGTTTCTTTCATAAACAATACAGCTTAATAGACAATTAAATGGTAAGGTTGACTGAACAAATTATAAATACAATTGGTAATTCAAGCTAGTTATTACTTCAAAATAAGTTATATTCATAGTTAGTGTACAAATTGTATACTGCACTATTTATTGTCCTATCAAAATGCCTAAATTAATGCCAAAATGCCTAATAAAGACTTCATATAAGATTCAGTCACTGCCTGAATAGCATTTCCAAATCTAAGATGAATCACATGGAAAATATTAGTAAGAGGTACCTCTTAGAAATATATGATTAATCTCGTGGCTGCGCTTAAATGATTATTAAAAGAATACATCAAGTTCAAATAACTATTAAATTGAAATACAATTCTGTTTCTTCAAAATGCTGAACAAAAGAAAACAGATACCAGTGAGAGACTGTACAAACTTGAAACCAACCAGTTTCACTCACTTGTGATGCCTACCTCTGTGATGGCACATTTGGTAAACGTGAACGGGTCCTGCCCTGATCTTCGCCACGGTGAGGAGATACAGATCGTGAACGATGATGTGTTGTTCTTTGCTGTTCTGGCACAGTTAGTGTTGTAGATCTACTTTCTCTAGTGCTAGATCTATAACCTACTGGTAAGAGGGCAACAAAAGGAAATTAGAGAATAATAGTGTGGATTTTGAATGAATTCAGATGGTTAGTCCTTTCAGGAATACACAACTAAATGCTTACACAACTGTCAGGTAGTCATTCAGCTGTTGTACATCCTGACATATCATGCAGCCAGGACAAAATACTAGGACTACCCTTCAATTTCTATATGCGTAGTGACAGAAAAACTGAAATTACTTTTAGTATGCACAAGAAGGTGTGAGGGAGAGAACTGAGTCTGTTTTCTATCTTGGGAGGGAGTACACATAGCAATTTCTATTTCAAAATTGTCATTCAGTAGCAAATATTTGAAATGAATCTAAGTAACATAGGTTTACCTCCTCTAACAAAGGGAGAAGCCATGCCTGTGTATTATGGCAGACTCACAAAGGACTGCTCAAAAATAAAGCCTCTTTCTGACTTTTTTCAGTTAAATACAAAAATGCTCTCCCACTCAACTTGCTCAAAGCTACCTACTTTCAAAAATAACAAGCGTTTATACTGTATAATATAAAAGTTTGAGCGCCATATCCACTGCAGACCACATTTTCCAAATACTATGAATGAGATGCAATATTTTTCATAATCTCTTTTTGCATAGAACTATAAAAATGTACTATCATTCTGCTGTTTTTTTAACTGCTGATATTCCTGTTCTTTTGTTCTAAATAATGTACTGTTCATTCACATTTTGAACCTCACCCTAAAAATCCTGTACCAAATGAAGATCAGCATGATGTGCTGCTTCCAAAAGGAGCTTGCTACCTTTCTAGAATATCCTAAGTGGATTTGGTCAGAGTTGCTCTTATCTAGATGTTTAGATGAGAGAAAAATCTCCCTGAATTATAGAAAAGCTCATCTCTTTAGTCATCCCTAACTGAACTCACAAACCAACAAAAAATCATTTTGCTGTTTCTATTGCATTTGTCTAGCACTAGATACCTGTACTGTGCTTTTTACATTTAGCTAAAAAAGCTAAATTTAGCTAAAAGAGCAGAAATCTTCTCTCCATACAGGAAAAGACCATCATCTAAACACTACACCTTCAACTGGATAAATGAAACAGGTTGCATTTTTTGAACTTCCTTCTCTACTGTTTCAAGGTTTTTGGCATAGGTTGTTTTTTTTTATTATTATTATTTTGCATAATTTGAGTAACTCATGGAGTTCTTTTCTAATATTATAGCAGATCGTTACAAGCCTCTTAAATGTATGGCCTGTATATGAAGTCAGTATCAGCCTTGGTGATGTGAGAGTTAACGACATGTTCTGCTACAACTCTGAACTTCAATCACAAGAATCAAGGGAAGGCTCACATTATTTCCCTCAAATTACTCATCAGATTACTAATGTAATTCTAATGGACATTTAACATCTGAATACATTATCTCAGCATTAGACCTGAAGGAAAGCATTTTGTTAAAAGTGATATTAATCTTTTACTACAAAATCTTTTACCATAAAACAGATTCACCTTAATAAACAAAATTCAAAAATTCAGAAGAGGGGCCCACTAAATTGTGTATTTTGTCATCCAAGAACCTCTAAGGCTCTTTTCTCTGATTATAAAGCTCATAACTTTACAACCCCCAGAAATGTGTCCATCTGCTATACAGTATTGAGCACTACAAATATAAGACAGAGAAGGTGAGTGGAAGAAGACATGATTCAAAAAAGATGATTAGACAGTTTTACTATGGAATTTCTAGTTAATGTCAGCTCAAAAACATATGCAGAAAGACCTCTACAAGTCTATTATTATTTTCTCCAATTATTATCTTATATTTCATGGTTAGTACAAGAACATGGGAAATAATCTCTTTTTTTCATCTTTTGAAGCAGAGAGATGTGGGGAAGTCAATCAATTAGGGGAATAGGAAACAATATGACTTTTGATAGATCTTAGAGGGGAGGACAGGGACAAAGAAAAAGATTCACAATAAAAACACAAAGTAGCTCACAAGCAAACATAAATGTTGTGTTTGCATGTTTGCACTGTTCTCAGATAGCACTGAGTTAGGCATGTGAAATAAAATGAACGAACGTGGCATCAAATTTTAAATGTGACAATATGTAAGTTTGGGGAGGATGGTTGTTATCTTTTGAAAGCCAAAGAAAGACAAAAAAAAACCTTTGTGAATGCAAATTAGTAGCAACATACACAGCAAATACTTGCCACTTAATCGCAATGGGTTAGTGAGTACTGACTGCAAAAGGGGCCTGATCCTGGAAAGTATCTACTGCAAGGTTCATGAAGTTTTTTACAAAGACTCCAAAGTCACATTGATTTTGATGCACTGTGATGATGGAGTATCTTATCTGCTGAAAATGTTTTTCAGAGTCATGCAATAAAACTAGAAAGAAATATCAGGATACCCCCAACATAAGTACAAGGACTGAGTGAAAACTTTGAAACAAAACAGTGACTCACTCAGGATTTCAGTGGAGATTCCCTCATTTTCTGTAATAAGATTGATGCAGAAAATGTCTAGTATTTTTGTCAGAGGAAGACAAATGATTACACGTGACAAAAACTGATGTGTTCCTTTTCCCAGTATAATTAAACTTGAGCTTTATGCATGAGAATATATTTTCTGGAAAAATAACGTTTCATATAAAATCACGTCCTCTCTAACACACACACACACACACACACACACACAAAAACTAGGTTATATTTATTAAACATTAAAATCAAAGAAATCCAAGGCTTCTTTCTAACCTTTTTAACTATTCTGAAATGTACTTCAAGTTTTCAATAATAAATTTCAGTTTAAAATGTGCTTTCAGAATATTTCTGGTCCACCTAAGAAACCAATACCTAAGATCATCCTGTGCACTTAAGCATCTGGCATATGAAGATGCTATTTCCCCGTATATTCTTCATAGCTGAGCTATCTGGAGACAATATTTAAAAACCCGTGCATTGGGTGAACACAAAGCTTATAGCACAGACAGGGCAACAGTAAATAAAATTTCTCCTACGTTTTACTTTTTGTTCAGTCGGTTAAACTGCATCCATAGTTCCACAGTGACCATGATAGTGACAGCAACAGTAACATCTCCTCGTATCTTCAAAAACAAAGGTCCTGTGCTCTCCAGAGCGAGCAGGGAATTTTTTCTTTTGCATGGGAGCAGCAATACAGCTTATGGCAGTTTATGGAGAAGAAGTTTCTCAGGTGGTCATGGGAAACTGTCAGGTGTGACATGAAATGGAAACTGCATGGATGATGAAAATGTTCTGATTTTTAAAGCACTAACTTTCTTTTTCAAAAAAGGCAATACAGCCAATGCAAGGTGTTATGCTGATGTCACCCTGCTGCTTCAGGAATGTTAAGTACTACACAGCCATTTATACTGACAATTTTAGACAGAAGAATAAATTCTTCTGGAGTGTTACTCAAAAGCATTACAGCTCATTAATATGCTCTTGTATACTGCCAACTCAATATAAGCCACTAATGCCTCAGATCATGTTTTATTTTGTTTTTATAAATCCTTTACTGACCCTTTTTATATACTCAGTAATGGTGTGGTCACATTTGGAATATTGAGCTCTACCATAGAAGAAAGACAAAGAGTTAAAGGACTCTGAGTCCAGAGCAGGACCACAAAGCTAATTAAAAGCCTGGAGAATCGTACATCTGAGGAGAGGCTGAGAGCATTAAAATAATATTCATGTAAACAAACGTAGGCATACCACAAAAATTTGTCAAAAATAAATTGTGTTAAGCAGAGCTTCAACTTAAGTTACTTTAAAGCTATGACTCTAAACACTTTTTATAAACAGTTCCATGAGCCGATTCTAAAAAAAATCCAGTGGTATATGGCATTGCAATATACTGCAATTTTCTGCAGTGATCTCTTGAGAAAGTCTGCTCCCATGTATTCTTCAAAGCCACACTTGAGCACTCGCTGTCCTAAGAACTTTCTGTGAGAACTGTAGTTATTCAGGGGTTGACCCAGGGAATAGAGTCCAATGTACTCAGCTGAACGTTCTTGAATGTTTCTGGCTAGATGGAAATGGTTTATTTCATGAATGCCTTAAAGAATTGGCAGCTTAAAAAAAACTCCTGCTCTAAGTATGTATATCGAGAGGTAAGAAAGCACACACAGGTATGCCACATGATTTGTTCCATTATTTCTTATAAATGTATTTGGTTTAATGAAGATTAATGACTTCATTAAACCAAATACAATTATAAGACATAATGGAACAAATTTCCTGCTTAGTTGTTCTTATGCAATTGTATGAAAATAAGGAAAGGATCCTAACACATAAAAAGAAGCAAAATTTGGATCTATATGCACAATGTATTTTTAATTAATATATAATAATAAACTGTCAGATTATTTTAAACTCTGATCGGGAAGATAGAGAACTTTCTAGAATCCCCCATGATTTAATTCAGTAATTGTCATCAGGGACATTGAAGGAAGAAATGATTTAGTACTGCCAATGAAACGGCAAATCTTAGGATAGCTTGGGACAATTTTGAAACCTAATCATCTGACTTATAACAACAGTCAAATAGAAATAGAAAAATATGGCACCCAAAGTACAAAAGGATGATGAATTAAAGTCTAACCATGGTACAAGCCAATTTATGAACATTTAGGGTAATGGTAGGTCATGAAGATTCAAGGAAACTATAGAAGGTACAGCCATGCTACATGCATCTTAATCTACAGCCATGCATTCTCAATAAAGTCCACGGAAGACTCTTTTACATCTAAGTTTCAAGCAAAAAGCAAAAGAAAACATGCTTGCAATAAACACTGAAACCCTAATTAATGTTGTGAAGTAATTTTTAAAATTAAATTAGTATTTTTAATAATGTTTGGAACATTATGTAGTAAACAATTTGAACCATCACGTAGTTCATATATGAAGAATGGTATGCAAAAGAAATACCAATGAACGAATTAGAGAATCTTTTAATTCACTACATTTTAGAAGGACAAGAACCATGGAATGATCAGAAAAACTTGCTTTTCCCACTATGCATTCTCTAAAACCAATATCTTCAATATTCTGAAATGTTATAATGAAGATAAATAAATAAGCAAGCAAGAAAGAAGAAAGCAGGACCATGCTGTTCACCCACGCACCTGGAGGAACAACTCCAATACCATCATCAACATCATAATCTGAGATGTCACTATCACTGATTGGCCGAGATCCTGCACAACAGTAAGGTAAACAAATACCTGAACAACTGGCCATGTTATAAAACGTAAAAATAGGTTCATTTGTACTACAAAAATTGAAAAGATGATTTTAAGTCTAAACAGTATAAGTGGAGAATTAAACTGCATCACTGATTTGGTGATGTCTCATCAAACAGCTGAGCGAATCCAACAGGTTCACAGATGCTGCAGCCTCCTCTGCCTTTCTTCCCTCAGTACTTTTCTATGAGGTTAGTTTAGCTCACAAAGCAAGCAAAAAGATTTCTTTATTTCTCAAATAAAGAAAAAAAAAAAAAGGTACTTTTTTTTTTTTTTTTTTTTTTTACTTTTGTGCTATTTGTGCTATTTCAGTGAGTAGAGCAAGTTGAATCAGCTGAACAGGAAAGCAGAGGTGGCAGCATATGGTGAGAAAGGAGAAGAGGAAGCAGCACTGACAGCCTTTTAAAAAGTTCAAATATCTCATGAAAACTAACCTTTAGTTTGCTATCTCTATATATATTCTCAGGCAGTAATTAAAGTATACACTGTATAATTGTATAAATGAATACAATTCATTCCTGAATATGCCCCAATTTCTTATGCGTTGACTGGAATTAATGACTTTTATGTTAAAAAAAAATAAAATAAAATCAGAAAAATAGCTTGAAAGCATATTAAAAACAATGTCCTACATCCTTCCAATTTTAAAATAAATCTTTTAATGAGTTAAATGAACAGAGAGGCTACAACAGTCAAATATTTCAAGACATTCATTATTTTTAGTGTGAATCATACAAACCTGAAATCAGAATCTTCAGAACAGCTGTACCTCCCAAAGCAGCTTCTCTTTGCTGCTTAAATTCACTCTTTCATCTGATTATATGGTATGCATATATAAAAGTACATTGCAAGCTGAAACTAAACTTAAATGAAGTGTTTTTACACCTCACAAGGCTTCAAAGCCTTTTTAAAATAAAAAGCTTTCAATTATTACAGAAGTATCCAACAAATTTGGACTTCATTTTTCCTTTTGAAAGGAGATTTATGAAAACAAATATTTGATCAATTTTATTTTGCTAGTGAAAATCAATCGATTCAAATAGGTTTCATTTACTTGAAAGTTATGCATCACAGGTGAAATGTGCAAAGTTGCATCTCTTTTTGCTATACATTTTTATAACACTAACAGATTATGAAATAGCATTTTTGTCTTGTATGTGAAAACTAAATATCAGTACAACATACCCAGGATTTCAAATTTAAAAATTAAAAAAAAAGATGAATGGATTGGACCTACTCTGTAATTTTTTGCTAGAGCTTTCTCCACCATGAACATGTCTTCTTGGCATGAAAGGTGATGGCTGAGGCAGAGGTAGTGAAGATTCATCATGTGTCTGTAGCTTATACCAATGTGGTTCATCATCTAAAAGCGCTGTCTCCAGCTCTATAAGAATCTAGGACAAAAATGATCACAATTTAAATTTTAATATGTAATCTTAACGTGTATTCAAAAATAAATATCAAACTCAGGATAACTGTGATTGTATGCATCACCTCTCCAAGAAATTCACTCTCTTCTTCTTGTACTCTTGGCTGATCCCATACTGTTATTTCAAGCATTCGCTCTCTAAAATCTCTACGATGTACATGCGAGTAGAGAAAAGTTTGGTTCCATTTTGGCTCTAGACTTTTCTTTACTGTTTTGGTCCTCCTTTTACTTTTATCACTGAAACATAAATATTTGTTGTAAGCTGCTTGTAAATCACAAAAAGCCATAAACTAATCAGCACTTATTGGTTTCATTTTTCCTCATCTGATAATGCCTTAAAAGACAAAAGTATTTGCTATACAGTGGATTGCATTCATCCAAATGTCCAGAGAGTTAATTTGATACTGAATGAAATACCTCTAGTGCGATTTTTTTTCTCATAATTACTCTAAATAGAGAAGAAAATACATATAAAAGAATTCTGTAATTCAAAAACATTCACTTAAAAACTGATTCAATAAATTACAAAATAATTTTTTGAACTGAAGTACTACCTCCTGTCTGGAAGAAAATACATTTTTACATAGGGATTCCTTGGCCGTCCATCTACTCTTGGTGGCAAATCTGTTGCTTGTAGAACATTCACTATTAACTGATGTCCCACCTTGTCATACCACAGTTTCACCTACATGAAACAAGTCACCAGAAAAAAAAATTGAAAATGAAAAAAAGAAAAAAGAATTTTTATACTGCATCATATTAACCACAAAGTAGAAGTAACATTTATTTTCCCAAGAGACAATGAGATGCTTATAATTGCAAATCTATTAATAAAATATGTTGGCGTATACCAAAAACTTACATATTCACCTAGCTGAATAAAATGGTGGTACCCGATTATACTTCCATGACTTACTGTAATCACTGGTACCTGTAAGTTCATTCAAGCCAGCATCATCTTAGTTTTGCACTTTTGAATCTACATTTAAATAGGAAGCTAAACTGCAGCTAAACTTCTGGCTTGTTCTAAATCTACCTACTCTGATCTGTCACATTATAAAGGTTCTAAGGGAAAATATAAAATACAGCTCAATTCTTTCCTATTGGATCATAACATAGAATTTTGGAGTCTGCTGTGTACTTAGAAATTAATATAATCAATATAAAAAGGTAAGAATATATAATAACAAAGTCTAAGTATTCACTGTGTATTTAATAAGTACAGTTTCAATTAACATTACAGAGAATTCCAGGAGGTGATGTATAGCTAAATTAAACTGCATTTTTCTACAGCAGAAGTTAACATAGCTCTTTACGTGCTCCTGTAAAGACAGTAGAAAGGTATGGTGCTTGTTATTTGCAAGTACAAAAGAGTACAGCATGAAAAACTGGAAGGCATGTTCGTGGGCTCCTTAATGTAAGTTTCTGCATGTTCTCATCTATTAAGACAACAACTCTTTACTTCTGCTGTGATTACAGTGAATGTGTACTTACACATTTGAAAGATGTGATTCACCAACAACAGCCACTCTTCCTTTGACTTCCCAATAGACCTTGGGAAGGCAGAGGACTGAGGGACCAACATCTAATAAACATTCATTATTAACTTAGGAAAAATAATATCTGCTCACAGAAAGCTGCCCTGGTAGAACTTGTGGTGCATCCCTTAGGGCTCCAGGGCTGGTTGGAGAAATAACAGAAATAGAAGGCCTTTCCATCTTCTGAGATTCAAAAGAACTTGAACCTAAAAATATGCAAGAAACAAATGAACTCTCCATCTGAAATTTTAAAACAAATTTGGATAATTTATGAATTGTTTTTTCTTTGAACATTATAAAGCTTGTCTTTATGCATAGCATTAATATCATAGTATACAGAAATTTTGTAAGCTGATGCAAATAAGGTGGTGAAAATACAGTCTAGATACTCCTAACCCAGATTAAACCTGACATTTTTTCTTTATTCTAAATAACATATTACAAAATGTTCCTTATCTATCATTGACATACCATGCCTTGAATAAAATATCCTCATTGTACATAGTGCACAGCTGAAAACTTTGATGAGTAATCTCACTTTTTTTTTTTTTTTTTAATAGTAGCCTCTGAAATGTGATTTTAACTCCTGAGAATTCAGAGGCAGGAAGATATGCAAGACAGACACCTGGCACAGAGGACACTCCTGTCTATTCAGGAGATTAGTAGTTCTCTATCAATGAAGCAGAGCTCACATGAGCAAGGACAAGCTCATGAAAGGCAAGGAGCAGCATAGAAGGTTCAGTGGCCCTGCAGGACCCACTGCTTCTCACGCAAGGCTCAGATGAGAAAGGGCTGGAAGCCATGGCCCTCACACAACCCAGCTGACACTTCAAGTGACGTTGCTAAGAAGATAGTTCTTTTTAAGTGTCATACACAAGAATTTCACCATAGGGTTGCATTCTCCATAAGTTAAAGAGAAGCAGAAACTCTGGACTTGGGCTGGATGGTGCAGGAGGTGAAATCTGCTGCCATTTGTTTGTCCTTTTGGCAGCCACTTCTACCTGTCTCCTCTGTTATGCTATGACAGTAAATGACTATACATGGGCATGTCTTATACACCCATACAGTATTAACAGTACAAGATATAAAAGAACATAGTAAAATCCTGCTAACATTTGAAATGTATGTAGCTTTTAATCAAATCTATATTGTTTAGAATTTAACACACAAGATTCAGATAACGATGATTTTATTTTCACATAAAAAACTCAAGACAATGCAGTCTCCCAGTGCATGGTAAGCATTCCAAAAATTCATAGCAAAAAATGACTGTACTGAGGACAAGATCAAGCTCAGTCAAAGGAACAAAGGGAGTGTACTCACTGGACTCTAATGGGGGATGAGAACTCTCAGGAATCCGAGGAATATCACTAAAAAACATGAATATACACAAAGTAATTAGGAATGAGGAAGAGTACCTTCTTCTGTAATAAATACGTTTCTGAGAAACAGTTTTAGAAACGTTTCTCTTTGTTCTAATGGATTATGGAGACACAAGGGGGAAGTATTTGAATCCAGTTCATTGTTTTCACTGGGTTTCATGAAAATCTTAACAATGGAAACTATTACTTCCTTCAAACTTAGAATCTAGAAGACAAAACGAGTGCTATGATGTAAATATTATGGATGGATTCTACTATTTTCACAATCTAAAGCCTGAGAGATTTTATTAAGAGAAGGGGGTAAATGGCAGTATAGCTAATGACGCTCAACTATTCTTTGGAGGAAACATTTACAAACTAAACAGAAGACAGAGATTAACTCACTAGTAATCTTTATATAAACGTCTCAAGGAGTTCATAGAATGAAACTGATGAAAATGTCTTACAATAAAAAAAAAAGAAAAACCAAGAAACATTAGAAATGTCAAACAACAAAAGAATAATGCACTTCTTCATAGGATAAAAAAATATCACAACACGTTACAATTGGGTATAGAATTTTTTCAACATAGAAACATCCAACACATAACATAAACAAAATCAAACCAGTTACATCCATACATGTCTATCAAAATTTTGTCATCAACACAATTACTTTTCCATCACAGTCTGGACAATGATAGTTCCTCGTTCTGTCCTGTTCTCAACAAGCATTGAAAATACATTGCAAAGACAAGATATGACTATTTTTGTACAAATATTAAAAAAGCAGAGCAAGAAAATGGAAAGAAAGCTCTTCAGCAGTTCACTTGAAACTATCATCTTCTGCAAATACTAATTCAAAATCTAAACAAAAATAATATTTTTGAAGAACATTTAAAGATTTTATGCGTAAAGGTGAGCATTTTAAAGGTATTCAGGTATTTTTCTGTTCAGTGAAACATTACCTTAATGATTTATAAGTCAGTAAAACTAAGACATATATATATATATAAATGCTACTTACAACAAAGAAACAGACACTTAAGTTAGAAAATGAACGTAATAGCTCCCAACCAACAAGTCTTAAATTTATTTTTCAAGTTCTGCATTTTAAATTTTTGGTGCACATGATTTAACAAAACCTACTTCGGCTCCCAACTAATGTTTTACATTAGCCTTCATCCTAGTACTAATCAAGAAAGTTCTTGACTTTGCCTTGACTTTGTGAGTAAGGCACACTGTGATTTCCCCAAACTCATGGAAATACAACTGCATTACTTGCTCTTGACATGGCATAATACTCCTTCACAATTAAACACAACATGGAGATCAGCAGGGCTGCTGTGTGGACTTCATAGCATGTTCTCTCTTCAGTTTCCAAGGAAATTTTCATCAGTCTGAAATATTTATTTTGTTTATTCCGACTGATTTTTCTGTTCAATATGACATTAAGTCTGTGATATTCTCTTGTGCTAGAAATATGTACTTTCTCTTCTGCAGCATAGCACTGCTCATAATAATACAAAATTTAGGATATTTAAAGAGGGCTTATGGGTCTAAGAAACATTTCAACATGGGCAGTTCATCCTACATACCTGGATGGATGGAGAAAGACATCAACTATAAAAAAAATCTTCAGAAGAAATAGAAGAAATGATTTTAACTAACCAAAGCCAGACTAGCTAAAGTAAATCGTTTAAAAAAAAAAGGAAAAAAAAAGAATCAATTTGCAGTTTACATTAATTGTATTACTGTAGCAACTCTCTGAAATCTATCTCTGTTTGGTTTGTTATGGAGGCTCAGTCTCCTTGCAAAGACCTAGAGTACAGTAACACAGAGGAGCTGAATCACACTGCAGAGGCGACATTTTTTGCAATAGTATTTGTGGAAATCCAAGCAAATATAATTTGTATATGACAAGGAAAACAAGAGACAAATAAAGAAAACATATGTTTTACCTGCACTATCCCATATGAGCTCACCCGCACACACAAGAGACAGTTACCATGGCAGACTGCTTCTCAAACAGTGTGCCGCCAAAGTCCATGCTGCCTTACACGAACAGCCACTACCAGCCTCTAATGCATATTCATAGCTCATTTTTCCCCCTTCATATTTAGATGCCAATCCATTAAATCTAATTTTAAATGGTTTCTTACCTACCTTGTGTATGCAATCACAAATATTAATGTCAATTAGTTTCTACGGAGTTTTTATGGTACTACTGTGGTTATACCATTTGCTATGCCTTTATTTGCTAATTGTATTGAATTCTTCACATTTTTCTCTAATAAACACCCTACAATTATCCATTATTCAAAATTACATTTACTGATAGACACAGAAATCAAATTTACAAGACTAAGCAAACTGTGTAGACATCAATTTTGTAATTTGCAGTCGTCTAATTTGTGGCCTTCCAGTCCTCCTATTATTTACTTCAGCAAAACCATATTAAATTTAGGCTTTTTAGACCTAATATACTAGGACTTTTTAAAAAGAGACCATTAGATGTACTGGTACATTACTTGCATTATTAATACAAAGAGAGGAAAACACTTAAATTATGCAGAAGAAATATCATTTTTCAGGTCTTTCGGGAACCTATTCCCTCACAGGAATTTTAGGTGTAATGGATTACCAATTAATGCTTTATCAAGCAGCTAGAAGTTTGCTGAATCAGAATCTAAACTAGACACAAATCTTGGCTATACTAAATCAACTGGATTAAGTCAAATTCACTATCAGGAATAGTTGGAATAACAAGGCAAGGAGAGGCCAGAAGGAAAAAAAAAAGTAAGCCAAAGCAAAACATCCACAAATTCAAACAAACAAACAAGAAAATCATGAGCAGGATGTGGTACTCTTCGTTTATTTTTATTGTTGTTCACATCAGGATTTTCTTAGTTGCACAATGCCTGGGTGGGATTTTTCTGAGATTTTTTGTGGGGTTTAGATGAGAGAGAGGTAAAGCCCAATCTGATGTAAAACAACAGGTCTTAATTTAATTTCTACTGGAAAAACGAGAGATCCTTAAATTTGAAAAGTTGCATGCTCTAGTCCCTTTGGGATATTTATTTGTTCTCTGCAGGAGAAAAAAAAAAAAAAAACTGAAAAGGAAAAGGAAAAAGAAAAAAAATTCAAGCAAAACACAGTTCTACAAGGATAGAATTATTGTAGCATATAAGCACCTCCATATCAAGACTCCATTTGTGTCAAAATAAAAATGTAATCTGATGTGCTCTGTTTTTGCTTATAGAAATATGTATGGGTCATACAAAGCAAAACATTACATTTCATTGGTCCTATTTCCACTTCATTAGTGCAAGAGTTGCTGTTCAGATTTAGAAGCAGTCTTTATTTTTGAATGTCTTTATTTTTTAGACCTTAGTCCAACAGTTGTGGTATTTTCCCTGGATTTTTTTTCAAGAGCACATCAGCGGAATTTGGCCACATTGTACTTCGCTTTTTGAAGTCTCTACATTTATAGAATTCATAAACAAGAAGTCATTTTAAGAATCAAGATAAAAGTCTAAGGATACATGACATTTACAAATACACTGATACCTAAAACTCGCTATTTAAAAAACTAATACAATAGTTTCTTCTTCATATCTGTTGTATAGATCAATTTTCCTTCAATTGAGAAATGAAGTTATGTCCTGTCCAATACTTCTTTTCTCCTGATTAAAACATTAAAATAAATTTTCAAAAATCCACTTATGGCATTTTATTTTAAATCATAAACACGATGGACTGAATGTACAGGGATTTCTCTTAATTTACCTGTGACTAAAGAATGTCAAATAAGGTTTCTACTTCCATACTGTTTCACTCTGAATGTTAATTTGAGCCCAAAAACAACCAGTATTTTTGCATTAAGCTCTAATTTGCCATTAAGATTACCAACAAATGTTAATTTCATTTAAATACTTTTAAATACTTTTAATAGTGATTGTCATTAAAAAGGAAGAGTTCACTTGCAAGATATATCTACATTTGCACAGTGTGGTCAAAATCAAACACCAAAAGCTGATATGAAATAAAAATAAAAGAATAATGTTTTAGTGGAGGTTTAGAAGGAAAATGAATAGCGCTTTCTGTTTCTCAAAATAAAAACTTGCCATATTGAGAAAGATAAAACTTATAATTAGGATGAAATCCAGCACATTCAAAATGAAAGAATCATGCATTTATAATGAGAAAACAGGTCTCCATCTACCTACAGGTTACTGGTACTTACGAGACATACAGTGAGTATGTGATCTCTGTGAAGGCTAAAAACTACAGACAGATTTAAACTCTCACATTGTTTTTTAAACTAGTCAAGAGTCACTTTTTATTGTAAACCATGTGACTCATCTCTGCAATCTAATTGTCAATTTACAATATTATTGAAATTCCATCCTGTAAGATCAGTCAAAGCAGTCCCATTAGAGTCATTTTCAGGGAAGGAGTGTAAAATATCACTGTAAAGCAATTGTGACAAATGTAAAACCCTCATTTTATCAAATCAAACAGACTTCATGATCCTTTCAAGGCTTATTTCAGAAATCAAGAATGCAAGAACTGTTACCGCCAAGCCGCAAACCTGGATTTAAAATAAATAAACGTTATAATCCTAAAAAAAAGAAAAAAAATAAAGGTAATATTTGATGAAACAAGCTACATTCTTTAATGGGAAGGTATTTTTTGTTTCTTTATTCCAACAGCATCACAAAAGCCAAATACAGCCTTTTTAGTTAAAGCAGTTGTATTTCTTTTGTCCTCTCTTTAAAGAAAACCTCTTTAAAATCCCACTAGCATTAACATAATTCAAGTCCTGCAATGCTCAATGCTTGCTTGTGCTTCCTAACAAATCATTTATACTGATAAATCACCGTAAAGGCCCAGGATTGCAACAGGCAATGAAGAAAATGGAATGTACAGAATGTCAGCAATGGAAAGTGAATCACATTCCATTATTTAAAGATAAAAAATAATGAACTCACAAATAACCCCTTTAGAAGTCCAATTAGTAGGACTAATAACTGTACTTAAGAAGCTAGTATTTAGCCTTACCCAATAGGCCTTGAAACAATAATTTCAACTTGAGGTTCTGACTTTGATTCTAAAATAATGTTGTAAACTTCTTCATTTGTAGCTCCAGGCAAGGGTTTGCCATTCCATTCTAGAACTTCATCTCCTTGAAGTTAAAGAGAATTTTAATTCATTTCAATATTCTTTTGCAAAGAAGCACAAAACATTTATGAAATGTACATAACTAAGTTACATCGCTCAAAATAAATTTTAAAATTATGTTGAAACCCAGAACATGGTTTCTGAGACACAATCAAGGCTCATTTCACAGAATGTAGCTACAACTTCTACAGAAAAGCATATAAATGAAACAAATTGTGCTAATTTATTAAGCACTTCATAGGTAATACAGCAAACATTACTGAGCTACACAATAAAAGTCTCTTTAAGAAGACTTTAACAGTAAAAACTTTACTAGCAGTAACTTTAACTGACAGTAATAAATGGTAACAATAAATAGTAAGATAATTAATCTTCAAAAAATGGAAACAAATCTCTAACGTTTAACCTTAATCAGGGTTTTTCATTACATTTTATATACTGTGCACTTTGAATTCTCAACAGAAAGGAAAGTCTTCATTGTCTGTGTCAAATGAACAAAAAAGAAAAGTCAGAATTAAATCACTACTTCTAAGGATGCGAGGGGAGAAGAGAAACCAAAACCTGATATCAAAGATATTTAGATAAGTGTCTTTTTTCAGCTTGTCACTTCCAGAATTTTAATGATATGTATACTGCATTGCACTTCAATACTGTTTTGAAAGGATAAAAGTATTTAATTATAGTTTCTTAATAAAGACCAGTGTATTCAATTAAACTGCAGGAACCATAAGGTAAATCTTACACTCTCACATCCCATCTTATATAGTGGCCAGAACTCTGCAGCCATTATCCGATACCACAAATATCCTTATTTTCTTTCTTGGCACCAATTTTGCATTTATCAGATTAAGTCAGGAACGACCATTAAGCCACTGGTTTGCCCCCGTCTGAGGAGACCTCAGTCAAATGATAAAACCCATGCTTGTTCATAAACCAAAGCAAAACTATCCAAACTAAACTCTTAACCCCCAAAATACACAGCTGCAACTTCTCTTTAAGATCAGTGATTGTCGTTCCTTTTTCCCAAACAGCCTACATTTTGGTATTTTAAAAAAGACTCTACAAAAGATCCCAGTACGTTTGAAATCATTTTGCTATTCTTTAAAACATAAGAGTTTGATAATGAAAGACTTAATAAATGCTGTCTGAGCTAAGTTTCATTTTCTACTACGCTATTTAGATGTTTAGAAAACAGGGTGATTTAAACACTTTGTTTAATCAGTTATTTATCATTACATGATATTGTCTTGGAATGAAAAATAAGTAAATCCAGATATTGCTTTCAAAATTAATTTAAAAATTCATACAACTCAATGAAAACACAGTCAATTTCGTCTGAAATTCTGCTTCTATTTAAATGCTAACAACTAGTAACTAACAAGATT